GGGTGCCTATAGTGGTCCTTTAAGCTATACGTGCTGGATAATGAGATCCAATGACGCAGCCAGAAATGGAGTTACACCTCCATTAGTGCTTATGGTGCTTGGAGTAACCCTTTAAATCTCATAACTAAAGCAACAGTTTTGGGAGAAAATTGCTGAGGGTGAATTTTAACACATTAATTCACTTGCAAGTCATGATTTAGACAAATAATGTATCATACCAATGCATCATAGAACATCATAAATGGAGGGATCTGTCCCATCTCAACCTCCTACAAAACTAAAAATGTTGTGGATCTGTCTATTCTACAGCGACGACAGGATTAAAAATAAGGCTCTCACAATGTCAAATGTGATTTAAGCAATACTGTAATGGTGCTGCATTCATATATATAAGCAAAGTATCATCACAGTGATGTATATAAACACCGCTGCTAGAGTTACTACCTGCACTCCTAATGATGAGTTCTTCTGTTTTTTTATTTTGTTTTTGTTCAAATTTACAGTTCACAATCACTTATGTGACAATAAGCATACACAAAACATTGCGATATGTTTGGAACTTTGACTCTAAGTAACATTGCATTAACATAACAGTTGTATATAAGGCTTCGGAAGTCGCAAATTAGGTGAGTTCTTCTGTTTTTTTGGATAAATATCACACTGAAATATTACATTATTTCAATATGTGTTAATATATTTCATATTATGTATCACAAGCTTTTTTTTCTGATTCATCAAGTTTCACCCAAAATGTACAATTCTGTTGTTAATCCTCCAAAATTCTTCGTTTAGTGAATAAACCTTCTTACACACATATGATGCGCTTTCTTGTACGTTATTCTACAGGTGATTTAAAGATTCAGAGGGGAGGACAAAAACAAATTGTTTGTGTCTTCAACATGGACCTTTGTCAAACATAATCCAGTTGCGGAATGAAATGTTGAATTTTTTTTTGTTGAGATTTTTAGAACTCCGTTTGTACGTATATATGCACAGCCCTCCTCGAATAGCATACAAGCATTTATAAGGGGAGTGGGGGCTGAGTGCCTGTTACTTTTCTGTATATGTGCAGAGAATACATAACGTGTGTTATAGGGAGATATTGAGGGGGCCTGAAGATACTAAACACATATAATACCACGTTCGAGTCTCTAGAATACTAACATGGCACACCTCAATGTTGTGTATCTTTGATAATGAAGTCTGGTTTAGTGTAATGGGAAATGTAATCCAGAACTATTTAGATTCTCATCAGTGCTCTAGTAAATATGTTTGTAATTAATAGTTTTAGTCCTGTAGTTGTTTGTGGACGATACATCTTGCACCACAATCATCGGTAACTCAAATCCCCATTGCTATAAACCGTTAGGAACGTGTCACAGCAATGGGGGCAGCATATATCACCTACCTCGGTGGCACAGGCTCTTAATCATTCGTGACTGGGACCTAAATTAGGTCCACAGAATTAGCTTGATGACCCAGTTCTCCACCATAACTTCATGTATATAAAAATAAATTCTGCAAAACACCTTCATTGCACTCTTCGCAGTGCCAGATGGGTCTACAGTAACCAATTTATTGTGAGCGCTTGCCTTGACACTGAAGAATATGATGTTCCTGTTCCAGTAGGGTATCAATCCTTCTGTAAATGGAGATGGGATTATAGGCAATGTCCCCCCTTATTTTTCTTAGTTGGTGTACGCAGTCATTTTCTCTTGTGCAAACTTTTTTCCCTGATCCAAAATGTTAAATGTTTGTGCGAATGTAAACCTGAAATTGTTCCTCGATAATTTTCATACAGCGCACCAGTGCAGCCCCTCTCTCATGGTTTGTATAGGAGTTGAAAATGCGATCAATCCATTATAATACAGGAAAACATTTATACACAAGTACTCACTTGTGAATTTAGAAGCAGCATATATAGTACAAACAGATCCAGACCCAGATAGGTACAGTGTAAATAGCTGCAGTTCATACACACTGTTCTGTTTGATTTCACTCTGTCTCCTGGTAACTGTGTCTCTGCCTTGTTCTGGGAGTTGTAATCTCCTGGCTGGCTATCTGGGATGATAAGAGAGATAAGGTGGTCAGCGGGAACCAGATGAGACTGTCCCAGGGTGGAAAGTGAAAACAGGAAGATGAGAAGTCAATGAGAGAATTGTATGTAGCAGATGAGAATAGAGACGGTACTTTGCATTCTAATATATGGTCTATCCACAGTTACCTGACGCAAGACAATCTGGTCCCAAACAGAGACCTTTATCCACCCTACCTAATTCAGTCTATAGGTCATCAGTCTATTAGACTGTAAGCTCTGCTGGCTAGCGTGATTTCTCCTATTTTTTGTGATCGAACTGCTCAGGTATATCTATATTATAATACAAAAAGGATTCAATTTGTTATCTATAAAACACCATGTTCCACAGATCAGTACAGTGATAAAAGTGTAACTGGGTGTATTACCTTAATGCAATCAAAAGATATCATAAGACAACACAGTGAATTATGTGTCCTATGTGAGAGACTTAGAACTTTCTCCTCTATCACATCAACATTTTCCAACGGCTCTCATTCACAACGACTTGTTGGCCATACACTTTCTCGCACATTCCACAATATATAGCTAAGGCATAATATTTATAGCTCCCCCCGACCGACTCGACGCCCCTGGAAAATGTTCTCCCTTTGTGAACATCTCACAACTATTATTTTTCTGTATTGAAAATCCTAAGCAGTTTATCCTCATACTCTGTTGTAGGTTGATACTCTGTTGTAGTTTTTTTTTTAATATTTATTAAGCTAAAACATTGTCTTTTACAATTTAAAAGATTGGTAACTAATGGATCTGATAGTTTTGTTTTTTACAATCTCGTTATTATTGAAAGATTTTAGTACAGGATTTACAAGTAATAGAGTGAAAATATAGGTTATACAGTAGGATTAAAGATATGTGTACAAAACAAGGAAAATACCCTGACCTATTGGTGGCCAGTTAAAAAGTATCTAAAGAGGACAGTGCCAATAAACATTAGAATCATAACTTCAATCTTTCCAAACCAAACAATGATCGAATGGGTTTAGCTAAAGAACCCAAGTCTGCATCTGTTTGCTTTGTACCATTTGTTGTGTAAATCGGACAGAAGAATGCTACTGGTAGCTGAAGAGGTTCCTATCCCTTTTATTTTTTATCCCTTGTTGTATCTGATAGTTACTTAAAAATTCTGGTCCATGTTATCTGCCAGATTATGGTCAATATTGTCAGAGTGTTATTCTTTAACCCCTTAAGGACACATGACATGAGTGACATGTCATGATTTCCTTTTATTCTAGAAGTTTGGTCCTTAAGGGGTTAAACTAGGTCATTTGATGCTGAAATTGCACATTTTTGTCCAAAACAGCTGAATATCTATTCTCCATAAAATTCTCCAAGTCACCTAGTTATTTCACCTAGTTTTCCAAATCCGCTAAAAAAATTTGTATTTCAATTGTTAGAGCTTGAATCGTCTCATCTTAGTGACTAAACTGAATTGTTAGGAATACACCAGGAATTGCAAGTTTGAAAAAGGTACACTCCACTATCAAAATACCAAAGAAATAAAAATCACTGTTCAGCAGATATACCCCAAATGGAAACATGCATGCATTTAGTTATACATTTTTTTCATTGGGGATATATATAAAAAAACAGCTTGAAAAACCTGCAGTTATTTTGTCTAAGCTCCCCTTCTAACCCCGTCCAGACTTTGTAAGGCAGGAGATGTAGGCTGCATTGCGCAAACCAAACCAAGACGTAAAATGAACTGTTGTCTGCTTGAAAGCCCAGGAAATGTTACCAGCTTAATTTACAAAATTCCAGGCACTCTCAGGATACAAAAAGGCAAATTTATTGAACAAAGACCGTGTAGGTCGAAACGTTGCAGTGGGTTCAATAAATTTGCCTTTTTGTATCCTGACAGTGCCTGGACTTCTCTTCTATTTTTCCTAATCAAATACTTGGTTCCTGGTACTGGGACTGGTCTCGTGCACCCGGATACATTTCAGATAGGTTTGAGTGCAGTTCCACATTCCGGCTATATTATATTAATTTATTGAAATCTGAACTTTTTTGCAAAATGAAAAAAAAAGAGTACAAACTTTTCCTACATAAAGCTTTTTAACAAGCGAAAATGCTTTAGGGGTCTGGAGTTTTCCTGAACACAAGCTATGTTTCTAGCACAGTACATATATTTCTGGTATGAACATCAAAACTTCCCTGACAATTCACAGTTTAGTAAATAACTTTTTTGTGGCTATTCTCTAGGGCAGGCATAAGCAGCCTTCGGCACTCCAGATGTTTTGGACTACACCTCCCATGATGCTTTACCAGCATTATGGGTGTAAGTGCATTATGGGGGATGTAGTCCACAACATCTGGATTGCCAAAGGCTGCTTATCCCTGCTCTAGGTTGTGAATTGACAGGAACTTAAAGTGAATTTCAAATTTTAGGCCAAATTGGGAAAATAAATCTCCCAAGTGATTATCTTTTCAGTTGAAACCCTGAAACAAATTAACCTGAACTCAGATTAAATTCCTGACATTTCACTAGTTAGTAGATACCCCCAGGAAGGACAGATATAAACCTAATCCCTGTGGGGTAGTCTCCCTGTCCCATTCTCTGTACGCCTATTTACTATTTATATTCACTCTAAAGGGGGAGAAAGGGTTATTTGGCTCAGAGTTCTCCTGGACTTGGCATTTACACCAGAAGTCCCAACGCTGGACTTCCAACTTAAACTGAACTCCAGTTCCCACACTGGGAGGCAGAATATTAAGGAAATTATGTGCACCATTTGAGAGCCAAGAATGGACACCCCCTGCTCCAAAATATGCTTATAGTGGTGTTTTCTCATTGTGTTCTGCTATGCAAATCTTTCTTGGCTCTACACACCATTATTACACTTCATAGCTCTGCCATGCCCAAGGCTCTGCACTGGGCAGGGTTACGTTTTGGGCCGTCCCCCTTTTAGATCTCCATCCTTCTCACAAGTCAAGTCAATTCACTGGCTCCTTATTGCACACTGAGCACTTTACAGTGAATCCACCCCAAACCTCCATCCATCCCTCCTCCAAACGCAGGCTCTGCTCACACCAGCACTACTGATACTGATCTTGGAAGTACAGACTGGAGATATTGATCTGCAACCTCCAGGGAATTCTCTGCAAGCTACAACAAGTGCTCTGCAAGCTGCCAGTCTGCGCTCAGACTGCTACACACAGCGCTCTGCGCGCTACACAAAGTGCTCTGCACTGGATTCTCCCCCAGGTGAGAGATCTATACATTGTAGCTGTGCGTTTATCAGAATGGATACATTAGGTGCTCTCATTAGTTAACCTGCCTGTAGGTAGACAGATAGCAACGGACTTAATAGTAATAGAGGACATGTTTTATAAATAATGGTAGAAGATACGCAGATAATAATCAGAGTAATAATAATTACTTTGTGATGTGTGCACCTGTTATACTATGAAGCCACCCAGCCACATACCCCCTATTGTGGGAACCATCCCCCTTCATGCTATACACAGCATAGTTTGGGGTAGAGTACATGTAATGTATAGGAGCCAGCGCAAGGTGAGTTAGGGTCAGCTAGCATAATCAAAATAATTAGTGTTTACAGCAATCAATACATTGTCCCACAACCCAGCACTCTCTCTGTCTCTCACAACATAGCACTCTCTCTGTCTGTCTCTCACAACCCAGCACTCACTCTGTCTGTCTCTCACAACCCAGCACTCACTCTGTCTGTCTCTCACATCCCTCGTCTCCCACAACCCAGCACTCTCTCTGTCTCTCACAACACAGCACTATCTGTCTGTCTCTCACATCCCTCGTCTCTCACAACCCAGCACTCTCTCTGTGTCTCTCACAACCCAGCACTCTCTCTGTGTCTCTCACAACCCAGCACTCTCTCTGTCTCTCACAACATAGCACTCTCTCTGTCTCTGACAACACAGCACTCTCTCTGTCTCTCACAACACAGCACTCTCTCTGTCTCTCACAACACAGCACTCTCTCTGTCTCTCACAACACAGCACTCTCTCTGTCTCTCACAACACAGCACTCTCTCTGTCTGTCTCTCACATCCCTCGTCTCTCACAACCCAGCACTCTCTCTGTCTGTCTCCCACAACCCAGCACTCTCTCTGTCTCTCACAACCCAGCACTCTCTCTCTGTCTCTCACAACCCAGCACTCTCTCTCTGTCTCTCACATCTCTCTCTGCACTCTCATCCACTATATTCTTCCACTCTGCACTCTATCAGTTTGCACTCTATCTTGCACTCTCCATTCTCATGCACTCTCTCCCCCTCATTCTCTGCTCCAGAAACTAGCTCTCCAATCGCTTTTGGTATCTAAATATTTATGTACAGAGCAGACAGTCGATTAGTTACAGAGACTCACCCTCTGTTACCCCCCACCCCCGTCTCATCCTATCTTCCCCTCTCTCTCTCTCTCTCTCTCTCTCTCCCATGACCGGTGTTAATGATCTGTCACAGATAGACAGTCAGGGAAACAGTCTCTTTAGACAGTGTCTAGAGCAGTGCAGTTCCTAGACCAGAGCAGAGCAGATGTAACCACATGCCAGCTGACATAAGCACTCTCACGGTCACTTTTACACAACTCTCTCTCTCTCAGCACTCTGTACTGTCAACAGTCTCACGCAGCACTCTCAACACCAGTTTCACTGCTTTCTCTCTATCATCACTCTTATTCTCATTTCTCTCTGCCAGCACTCTCACCATTGGCCCTTTAACATTGCTCTCTCACACGTCATACTTTCTTAATGTCAGCACTCTAACGCGGCACACTCTCTATGTCAGCACTCTAAGTCTTTAACACTACCATATCTCGGTACTTTATCTCTTTGGCACTCTTAACATTACCCACTATCAGCACTCTTACAATGCTCTCTCTATCACTATCAGCACTCTTACACTGCTCTCTCTATCACTATCAGCACTCTTATTACTATCAGCACTCTTACACTACTCTCTCTCTATATATATATATATCACTATCAGCACTCTTACACTACTCTCTCTCTATATATATATATCACTATCAGCACTCTTACACTACTCTCTCTCTATATATATCACTATCAGCACTCTTACACTGCTCTCTCTCTATATATATATATTACTATCAGCACTCTTGCACTACTCTCTCTCTCTATATATATATCACTATCAGCACTCTTACACTACTCTCTCTCTATATATATATATCACTATCAGCACTCTTACACTGCTCTCTCTATATATATCACTATCAGCACTCTTACACTGCTCTCTCTATATCACTATCAGCGCTCTTACACTGCTCTCTCTATATAACTATCAGCACTCTTACACTGCTCTCTCTATCACTATCAGCACTCTTACACTGCTCTCTCTATCACTATCAGCACTCTTACACTGCTCTCTCTCTATCACTATCAGCACTCTTACACTGCTCTCTCTATATCACTATCAGCACTCTTACACTGCTCTCTCTATCACTATCAGCACTCTTACACTGCTCTCTCTATCACTATCAGCACTCTTACACTGCTCTCTCTCTATCACTATCAGCACTCTTACACTGCTCTCTCTCTCTATATATATCACTATCAGCACTCTTACAGTGCTCTCTCTCTATATATATATATCACTATCAGCACTCTTACACTGCTCTTTCTATATCACTATCAGCACTCATACACTGCTCTCTCTATATCACTATCAGCACTCATACACTGCTCTCTCTCATCACTTTATCAAAACTCACTCACACTATTCTCCCACAATATGCTCTCTTGTACTAGTCTGTGCTCCACCACATGGTTCTCTCACACTCACTCACAACTCTTTCACTGCGCATTCTGAGCTCTCTTACACAATTACACATACAGCTCTCCTTTATCCAAGAACTGCTCTCTTTCCTACCCAATTCTCTCACACAGCACTCTCATATTGCTATCCTAGCCTGCTCTCTCACACAGCACTCTCACATTGCTTTCCTACCCAATTCTCTCACACATCACTCTCACATTGCTATCCTAGCCCGCTCTCTCATACAGCACTATACTATTGCTATCCTACCCAACTCCCACACAGCACTCTCACATTGCTATCCCTGCTCTCACACAGCACTCTCACATTGCTATTCTACCCCGCTCTCTCACACATTGCTATTCTACCCCGCTCTCTCACACAGCACTCACACATTGCTATTCTACCTTGCTCTCTCACACAGCACTCTGCTATTCTACCTTGCTCTCTCACACAGCACTCTCACATTGCTATTCTACCCCGCTCTCTCACACAGCACTCTCACATTGCTATTCTACCCCGCTCTCTCACACAGCACTCACACATTGCTATTCTACCCCGCTCTCTCACACAGCACTCTCACATTGCTATTCTACCCCGCTCTCTCACACAGCACTCTCACATTGCTATTCTACCTTGCTCTCTCACACAGCACTCTCACATTGCTATTCTACCCTGCTCTCTCACACAGCACTCTCACGTTGCTATCCTACCCCGCTCTCTCACACAGCACTCTCACATAGTCCCACCATGCTCTCACACAGCACTCTCACACTGCTATCCCAGCTTACTCACAGCACTCTCACATTGCTATTCTACCCCGCTCTCTCACACAGCACTCTCACATTGCTATTCTATCCCTGCTCTCACACAGCACTCTCACATTGCTATTCTACCCCGCTCTCTCACACAGCACTCTCACGCTATTCTACCCCGCTCTCTCACACAGCACTCTCACATTGCTATTCTACCTTGCTCTCTCACACAGCACTCTCACATTGCTATTCTACCCCGCTCTCTCACACAGCACTCTCACATTGCTATTCTACCCCGCTCTCTCACACAGCACTCTTACATTGCTATCCTACCCCGCTCTCTCACACAGCACTCTCACATAGTCCCACCCTGCTCTCACACATCGCTCTCACATTGCTATCCCAGCACTCTCACACAGCACTCTCACACTGCTATCCCAGCTCTCTCACACAGCACTCTCACATTGCTATTCTACCCCGCTCTCTCACACAGCACTCTCACACTGCTATCCCAGCTCTCTCACACAGCACTCTCACATTGCTATCTCAGCTTTCTCACAGCACTCTTAAAATGTTGTCTTACACTTGGATCCTGTACTGCTTTCTCCTTAAAAGAGTGTAAGTGTGCCGAATGAGTGAAAGGAGTATAAATGTGCTTATAGTGAGGGCAGTGTAAGAGTGCTGATACTGGGGGCAGTCCAAGTGTGCCGATAGTGAGGGCAGCGTAAAAACACTCTTACACAACCCTCTCAAAAGCAGCACTCTTACAAAACTATCTCACAATTAGTATTGTTACACAACCTTCTCACAATCAGCACGTAACACTGCTCTCCAAATCCGTATCATTGCACCACTCTTTTATAGACTGATACATACATCACTTCCTGCTACTCAGTATTCTCACACTAATCTCTCACACTCAGCACTCTTTCACTCCCCTTTCTCTGCTTGATTTGCATTGCTCACTTAACTTCCTCACGAACCCAGCTAGTTTACTTCATGTCTCACTTTTGGTTTGCTACACTGTAACTCTACATCTTTAGTAGTTTTACACTATTACGTCTATAACACAAAAACTCTGACATTCATTCTTACAATGCTACACCTTACCTACACTCATTAACACACATTAAAGCTCTGTGCAACTTCAATACATCTTCTCTGCATAGTCAATTCTCTTCTCACAAACACTCAGAAGGTTATTTTCTCTAGACTCGGCAGTCTTACGTTAGATCTCACTCAGAATTCTAACAATGGATCTTCCTCTAATACTATATAATCCCTACTCTTAAAGATTTCACCAGCATTCCAACCCCTAAAATTTACACTAAAACAAGATACGCTCTTATCAAAGATCTTCATTAGATGCCCCTTGTGCTTTGGTCTTACACTTTGCACTCTAATATCTGATCATTTCTAACACTGGTCTCAAATACGTTCTTCCCTAACTTAACATTGGAACCTTAGCTCTCCCCAAAACTCAAAATTCTATCATTCGATGCCTCACCTGCAGCTCTCATTCTGTTATATTGTTTCCGTCCCTACAGACACTGCTGGTACTCTGCTGATGGAGTGTTAGAGGAAAAAGTCATGAGCCAAAATGAGCAGTCTATCTGAGTACACAGACAGCTCTAAACCCCAGGGAGGGACGGAGGAAGAGTGGGAGGAAGACGAAAAAGAGACAAAATTGAGTTGGAGTAAGAGAGAAGACAAGAGAGGGTATAGTCAAAGAGGAAAAAAGGCCTAGTTTCTGTGGACTTTGTTTGTGCCATGTCGAACTTCACTTCTCCAGATGCTTGTAACGTTGATTCTGGCCTGGACGGAGTGCTTCCACCCTCGCTCTACGCACTGGTCTTTGTGGTGGGTCTGCCAGCTAATTTACTGGCCTTGTGGGCAGCTTGGCTTCAAGTTAGGCAGGGTAGAGAACTTGGTGTCTACCTCCTCAACCTCTCCCTCTCTGATCTTCTCCTCATTTGTGCACTCCCACCATGGACGGATTACTACCTGCGGCGGGATGTTTGGGGTTATGGCCCCGGTGCCTGCCGTCTTTTTGGTTTTGTATTCTATACCAACCTGTATGTGGGAGCCGCTTTTCTTTCCTGTGTATCTGCTGACCGATATCTAGCCGTGGCCCATCCTTTACGTTTCCCTGGTGCTAGGCCCATACGCTCAGCTGCTGCTGTCTCAGCTCTGGTTTGGCTACTTGAGTTGGCGGCCAATGCTCCCCCACTGCTTGGAGATGCCATCCACCGGGATCAATACAACCACACCTTCTGCTATGAGAGTTACCCCCTTTCTGGGAGAGGAGCGGCCTTGGCTAATGTGGGGAGGGTGTTGGCAGGTTTTCTGTTGCCCTGGGGGGTTATGATGGTCTGCTATGCCGGGCTGCTGAGAGCTCTGCGAGGAAGTGCATCCTGTGAGAGAAGAGAACGAAGGAGAGTGCGGCGGCTAGCTCTTGGGCTTCCTTGCGTAGCACTGCTGTGCTATGGGCCATACCATGCTTTACTCCTCCTACGAAGTGTGGTTTTCCTGGTTGGGGGAAACTCTGTGGCTTCAGGTGGAGACTGCGCATTGGAGGAAAGACTTTTCCCTGCCTACCATGCATCACTAGCCCTGGCCACCCTGAACTGTCTGGCAGATCCTGCCCTCTATTGTTTGGCATGCCCTGGAGCTCGGGGGGAAGTGGCAAAGGCAGTAGGAGGGGTAGTGGCATGGGCATTGGGCAAAGACCGAATGGGCTGGGGGGAGAGGGGCATTGAGGGCAGAGGAGGAGAAGAGCTCAGGATGGTGGAATTGGGGAGAGGGCAAGGGGTGCATGTGGTATGAGGATAGAAAGGTAACCTGTGCTGCACAATAAAATAAATTAAACTGATAACCACCATGTTTAAGTGTCTCTTATTTTAGGGAACTCTTCAGAATTAGGGGCATGTACTTAATAAGATAATAAGGGGGTGATGTTACAGAGTTGGAGCAATGCAGATGGGGTGGGAATTTGCTAGTTTGTGGGGAAAATTCCAGTCTAAATGAGTGGAGATGTTCTGCAGGGAAGAAGGGGTGTTTAGCACGAAGCACTATGTGCCGGGGTGAGATGCTCTGCATAGGTGGAAATATTCTGCAAGCTGGTCTCTGCCATCTGTGTGCTGAGTCAGTGTGTGTTACGCAGGTACATTAGAGGGATATGGGGGCAATTGAGTTACACAAGAACAGCAGAGGGGGGAGCGGAGAGGGCCACAGCTGTTGCTGACAGAAGAGCCAGCACTAGTAGGCTGTACACGGCTCTAACTGCATCAAGTTCTGCTGTGTGTGTGCCTCTGCTATTCCTCTACCTCAGCCATGCAAAATGGCACTAAAATGTTCAGTCTTCTTGCCTCCAGCATCACCGATACACTCAAAATGCTCTGCCACTAGGCTGCAACCTGCTTTACTGTACCTCTGCTGTTCCAGTAACCCCAACACACACACAATGCTCTGTCACTAGGCTAGAACTTGTTTTACCGTCCTCTCTGCTATTCCAGGAATCCCAACACACACAATGCTCTGTCACTAGGCTATAACTTGTTTTACTGCCCTCTTTGCTATTCCAGTAACCCCAACACACACAATGCTCTGCCACCAGGCTGTAAGCTGCTCTACTGTTCCCTCTGCTATTCCAGTAACCCCAACACACACAATGCTCTATCACAAGGCCGTAACCTGCTTTACTGTTCCCTCTGCTAATCCAGTAATCCTAACAGACACAAAATGCTCTATCACTAGGTTCTAACTTGCTTCACCATTCTCTCTGCTATTCCTATAAGTACAAACAGCTTCTGTAACCTCAACCAGATTCTGTCACTAAGGCCCTAACTTGTTTGCTGTCGTCTCTGCTGTTATTTACTTCCCTGTTCAATGCAGCTCTAAAACTTCACAGCTATCTCACATTGTTGTCCTCACTGACATTCCTGTGCTGGCAACTCTGCTACACAGCTCTGTCACAAGACACATCTTGACTTGTTGTCCGAACGAGAAGTCGTGTACGGACACCAATGGTCGGTGCTTTGTTTTTGACAACAGGGTTCTAGAACTGGTGTAGGGGGAAAGGTTTTGCTACATAAATAAGAGGAAATGTTCTAGTATGCTTATATACTGCAACAAATATGTGGTTACTCATCTAAACTTGGGGAAAATGTTCTAGTACTCTCCTACACAAAGGTCAAAACACTAGCACTCTTCTATGCTATGGGAAAAATGATCAAATACTTTTCTATACTACGTTATGATGGCCGTAGCAAACTAAAATACAAGGGGAGTAAAGGTTCCTGTGCTCCCCCATATAATGTAAAATTCTCTGGGGTCAGTTCCACTCCCAATACTGTTCCACCCTAAGAAAAATCAAAGAATAAACCCTCCACTCTCCCTTACTTAGGAAACGTGTTCATATGTACTCATATATTGTGGAAAGAGCTGCAGCATTCCCCATTTACCAGGAGAAATAAATATTATAGAATTTTACTCTGCTATTCTTTGGAGAGGTTTGCTTTCTCTCCTACGCTAAATGTCCCAGTACCCTTTGAATACTAGAGTAAATAGATTCTAGTGTTCTATCATAGATTCTTCTATGCTACAAGAAAATGTTCCAGTTTACTCTTATACTAGGAGAAAGTATGTTCCAATGCTATTTTAGGGGAAATGTTGCAATGTTCTCCTAGACTAGAAGAAATGTTCCAATGCTCTCGTAGACTAGGGGAAAGGTTTAAATTCTCCTATGCTAGGGGAAGTGTTTGAATACTCTCCAAGACTAGGGGAAATGTTCCAGTACTATCTTGTTCTAGTGGAAAATTTTCAAATGGTTTCTTATACTAAGGGGAAATGTTCCAGCAGTGTCCGATACTATTGGAAATTGTTAAAGTACTATGGGAAAATGATCAAGTGCTCTCTTATAATAATGGTAACAGTTCCCTTGCTCTCCTATACTAAGGGGAAAGTTTCAGTGTGCTCTTTTGTACTGTAGGGGGAAAAAAAAGTGCTCTCCTATAATAATGGAAATACTGTATTTACTCGAATCTAATGAGCACCTTTTTTGGAAAATAAAAGTTTCCAAAATTTAAATGTGCATTAGATTCAATGGCGCATTACATTCGGGGCAAAATTCCAAATTCTCTGGCGAATTGAATTCCAGTGAATTAAAACTGGTGAATTCAAGCATACAAATTCAAACACTTGAATTAAAACTGGTGAATTCATAGAGGCGAATTGACACAGGGAAATTTCATTCCTGATAGAGGGCTTAAGAAAAAATAGACTTAACATGTAACACTAAAATTGAAATACCATCAATGTTACTATGATATATGGCAATAAACATTTTCATTGTAGCACAATGTTGTATAGTAGTATCTTCTTGTATAAATGCACAATACAATCTCCAGCAAAAACTTTTTTTCAATTTCCAGGTTTCAAAAATTGAGGTGCGCATTAGATTTGAGTAAATACGGTAATTTCAGAGCTGCCCTATACTAAGGGAAAAGGTTCTTTGTCTCTTCTTTATTAGAGAGAAACATTATAGAGCTCGCTTATAATAAAGGAAAAAGGTTCCAGAGCTCTCTTATAATGAGGGGAAAGGTTCAACTCTCCTATAATAATTGTAAAGACTCCCGAACTATAGAATACTGTCTGTTGTGAATTTAAACAAGGTGCCACCGAATCCCCAGATAAAAGCCCTGTTCCACACAGCTTTGCTATAATGAAGGGAAAGGTTCCACAACTCTCCTATATTGGGGGAAAGGTTCCACAACTCTCCCATAATAAAGGGAAAGGTTCCACAACTCTCCCATAATAAGGGAAAATGTTCCACAACTCTCCTATATTGGGGGAAAGGTTCCACAACTCTCCCATAATAAGGGGAAAGGTTCAACAACTCTCCTATATTGGGGGAAAGGTTCCACAACTCTCCCATAATAAGGGGAAAGGTTCCACAACTCTCCTATATTGGGAGAAAGGTTCCACAACTCTCCCATAATAAAGGGAAAGGTTCCACAACTCTCCCATAATGAAGGGAAATGTTCCACAACTCTGCCATAATAAGGGGAAATGTTCCACAACTCTCCCATAATGAGGGGAAAGGTTCCACAACTCTCCCATAATGAGGGGAAAGGTTCCACAACTCTCCCATAATGAGGGGAAAGGTTCCACAACTCTCCCATAATGAAGGGAAAGGTTCCACAACTCTCCCATAATGAGGGGAAAGGTTCCACAACTCTCCCATAATGAGGGGAAATGTTCCACAACTCTCCCATAATGAGGGGAAAGGTTCCACAACTCTCCCATAATGAGGGGAAAGGTTCCACAACTCTCCCATAATGAGGGAAAGGTTCCACAACTCTCCCATAATGAGGGGAAAGGTTCCACAACTCTCCTATAATGAGGGAATGTTCCAGAGGACAAAGGATCCAGAACTATATAATACTGTCCATTGTAATTTCAAATGAGGTGCCACACATCTGTCTGTCATACCAAGCCATTTTGTCTTCTATTCCTGTATTGAGTCTGGCTTGCCCACAGCTCTGTCATTAGCCCGCTACCATGTCCAGCAGGTCTCTGATGCAATAGCAAATCCCTTGTGCGTAGCTTCATCACTTCTCTGATATCCCAATCACAGCTGGGTCACATCACAGGCTTAGTGACCCTGGGAATACCCTGTCCCAGCTCCAACCCTGATCAGAGCTATCCGTCTTCACACAACAGACACATTCTGTGTGTATATACAGCGATAACCGCAATGTGTGGAGAATTACTGTAAGAACACACTAATTATTCAACTAAAGTTCAGTTTATGTTACAGAGAAGTGAGCATTGTGCAATTATCCATCTCTACTTAAAAAACGACTGCAAATTTGTAGCATGTAGGGAAACAAACTGTGCATTGTCTTTTACTTTGACTATAAAAGGTATTTATTTCAATAGTGTCAGTTAGATTTGTGTCTCTCATTGCTGGCTTTCTCAAAATGTAGGACTTCTCAATTATTTGTAAAAGTAGTAAATCTCACACCCAGTAAAATATAAACACAGATTTAAACGTTTCTTCAATGTGTCGCTAAATGTGTCACTAAACCACTATGGACAGGGCCCAGTCCTGAGCCCAGAAAAGCTACGGGGCACAGGAGCAATTTATAGAGCTACGAGAGGAAGGGGTGTACAGCGGAAATGGAGCCTTACAGACAGAGATCTTAAGGTATAGGAGGGATGAGTTGATATATAAGTTGAGAGGGCTTTGGGATATATGAGGAATGGAGACCAGAATTAGGATTTTGAGAGACAGACCATCCGGAAATAGGGGATAGGGCTAGAAACACAGATGGAGGCGATTGCTATACATAGGGTTTGATACAGATAACAATAACAATAACGATAATGGACTAAAATTATTGAGGAAAGGGGACCTGTAATAGTTTGGAGAGGGAGGATATCTTAAAAAACATGGACAAGCGGAAAAATTAAATAAAAGAAGCTTGAGACAAAACGGAAGGGGAGATAATAAAGGGGGAATCGAATAGGGGGAGGAAAAATATATAATTGAAAGGTGTTTTGAGCAGAGACCTGAGTTTCATACAGTAAGTTAGAAGTCAAGTCACTGGACAGCGGAATATCAGATTAAATTTACTGCAATGGCAGATAGCACATACAGAGAGAAGAGAGAGGTAGGGAATAAACAGGTACACTTAGAGTTCACCATGCTCAACATGGCTTTAGAGCCTAAAACCAGCGCAGGAAAAACTGCACAAGTTCGTTTGCCTTGCCCTTTTTTTGTCCCCTCAGAAGACCGTCAAAATCAAATCAAGAAACTATAAAATGAGAGTAAACTGGAGTTTAACGGATAGACAGCCATGAGATGACAGACATGACAAGACACGCTATATAAGGTAATTATCATTCTGCGTTTAGAATGAATTGAGGAGACCAGTAGCCATATCTAAGCGAACGTAATAACATGCGATCACTGTCGGCAAATATCCATGTCTGTCTAACTAACACGATGCAATATTACAGCGTCTTTCAGAGGAAACTGTGATCAACAGATACTGCTTCTAGCATTGCCCGTAGAATTATAAATTCTACAGGTACTACAAAGCAGAGTAGTGTAACAGAATAATTCATGTTTAGGACGACGTATGGCATTTTAAAGTGGATCTGCAATTATTTGAATCTTTTATGGTGTATTCATCCTGGCAAACCACCTCAAACCAGACCAACTATGCCCAAGGCAAGGCTAGTAAGAATTTGTTCTTACTTAATTAAATACCAATCAAAGCAGAACAGCTACCAGATAAGTTTCTAAAGCTTAATGCATCATTCACTACCCAATGCACCGCATTCTTGATCATTTTCCTACATTTTTGGAAATGGCTTG